TATATACAACATTAATACAGATTCTGTTATATGAAAAAAGTAGATAACTGTGTTTTATATTACTTTTGATGTGAAAAATAGTTACAGTAACTAAAGCTGTAAAATGATTGCACTGGTCCCCCCATGCTATCCCCACTTAATGTGTCTATATTAGTTTTTACAATAATGTCCATAGGATACAGTCTTAATTACAATAGGTAGGTACAAGTACAAGAAACCTTGATTCGATTCCCCAGGCAAAGTCTAAATCACTAGAAACGAAGTTTGCATCTCTTAACTTCATTACTTGGCTCTCTGAGCCTTAGAGTTGCAGTTACACAAAGACTTACAGAGTAGGGAAAGTGCCAGCTTTAGTCAAACTCATCTATCATCAAGTAAGAAGCAAAAAAAGAATGATTTATTGTCCTTCACATGTTTTCACATCACTACATATTTCTTCTTTACTGTAATCCAAGTTTGAGTTAACAGATGATAGTGCAAAGAAAAAACTGCCTACATTTAAATAAATTGTAAATGTACCATTATAATACATGTATCAGTCAATAAAGAATTTACCTCAGAAAATAGCCAGTATTGTGCTGAGAAAGTGATGGTGGTGTGTATAAAAAAGATGTTTTATATATAAAGAGAATGCATAACCTAATGCCGACTGACTATACCCTCAGCTGTGTTTAACATGGGTTATGATGAGTGGGGCATTATTCTTCCCCTCCTGGGCGAGACAGGGGCTGAAGATCGGGTACAGGTTCTCACTGAAGCTATCGATAAAACTGTAGATATGCAGACGAGCCTTCACATCATAGAAAGAAATCTGGCCTCCTTCGTAATCCAGAAAGATTCCTACTTTACTGGGTTGGGAAGGCAGCACTAGAGGCAAGCGGGGCGACGCCAGCACTTTCACCTCCCCGTTCTTCAGCCACAGGCACCAGTACCCACCCTCGGGACTCAGCTTGATCTCACCCTTGCGTCGGGCAGAAGCGCGGGCCACGCCGAGCGTCCAGGCCGTCTTTCGCGATACGTCCACCTCCCAGTAGTGTCGCCCCGTGCTGATCCCCTCCCGGCCCAAGACAAAGAGGGCCGGGCTGAAGCGCTTTGGACCCTCACAGTGAGTGGATTTGCGCTCTTCATACCTCACCTGCTGACCATCATCAGTCACAGTCAGGTTCCTCTGGGCTGTGGCAGGGTCCAGAATCACCTCAGCTGAAAAGGAAGGAGCAGAATATGAGACAGGGAGAAAAATCTGCATTATTTATTGCCACTTCTGCTAAAAAAAAAAAAATAATGGGCTCCTTATTCCTGAACATGCCACAAGGGTGTCTGTAAAATGGCAACATGCTACGGGAGCAATCCCATCTCTGCTGTGAAGAATTACTTCCATTTTGTGGGCATTTAGAAGAAATGAGCATCATCATTTACTCAAGAGAGGCCTCCTGCTTTCCTTTAACACCCTTATGTACAAGTGGCACGAATGTGCTCCCTAGAAGAATTATAGCTACAAACCATGGATGTCACCCAGCTAACACAGTAGAAGTGTTACTCACATGCGTAGTTCTGCACCTTCCGGAGCTCTGAGAGAGAGAGAGAGAGAGAGAGAGAGAGTGTCAAAGTCACAGCAGATGGCACGTGTGGGTGGTAAACACACAGATCTGAACCAGAGCTCTAAATGCTCGATGCATGTGCCGCTGTCAGTCAGCTGCCTCTTCCAGCGATCCCAAGTGGATGATCTGCGGCATCAACACTATCTCCATCTGTCCAACCGTCTTGCATGTGTGACCGTGTGAGTGTGGCGCGATGATGAGTCACTTTTCCATTCCAAAGTGTGCGTACAGTGACCTACATATCACCGATTTGGATTTTGCACAGGATGTGTGGTTTGTATTAGACAAGGGAGGATGGATTGTACTAGAACTTTGCATTCATTATCCCATGCAGGGATCCCAGCAAAGCCTGCTGCGAGTTTGATTTTCAGTTTAAAGGGGTACTTGAAGCTGCGGAACTGTATGCAGCGTACGCAGAATGGAAAATACTCATCGTGACTATGAACATTTTTCAAAACACTCTTCCAAATGATTGCAGACATGTTGATTTGCATTTAATACATAAAACATGAGCCATTTCAGATCGCTCATTTTTAAAAGTGCTTTCAGAAAAAGGATTAAGAAAAGATTTTGCTGAATATGTGCTAATATTATGTAAGGTATTTATTTAAATGTATCTAGCCCTGCATGATATGCACTAGGGTTTAAATGATGCTCTGTTGGAACTAAAGGGCTAAGATCCATGCGTTCATATTGTTTGCACCTACACTCTGAAATCATGACTTATCAGTTTAGGCAACATTTTTTCCAGTTTTCTGTTGTCTAATTTTGATGAGCCTGTGTCAGTCATAGCCACATGGACTTGGTATGGTCTTCTGCTTCAAGCAGTGGCGGTCCTAGCCTGTTTGGCTGACGAGTTATTGTGAGTTATTAAATGCTGCTCCAGCCACCAGAAACTCCCCCGCCGCCCCACCCTCTCCTCTCTGTGCCGCAAGCAGCAGGCGCACCTCGCAAACGAGGGCGCCCTTACTCCCAGCAAATGGCCGATAGAAAATCGATCGGTGCCTATGGCATTCCCAATATGCGCTGGCATGACGTCGGGGCAGCATGAGTATGAGCATTTTTTATTTTTTTTGCCCATGCCCGTGATGCCATCCCCCACCCCTATGCCTCCCCGGGCAACCGCCCGTGTCACCCGTATCAAAAACCGCTACTGGCTTCAAGGTTTGACTTGTTGCTACTCAGACATGCTCTTCTGCAAACCTTGTTTGTAATGAGTGTTTTTTTTGTTGCTGTTGCCTTCCTATAAGCTAAAGGCAGTCCGATCATTCTCCGCTGACATCAACAGGCACAAGCCATTTCTCCCAGATAATTGCTGCTCACTGGATAATTTCTCCTTTTCAGACTTTTCTCTGTAAACTGTAGAGATGACTGTAGATCAGCTGTACTAATATTGAGCGCATCTGGCAGCATTAACCAAGTTGCAAGTCGCTTCCCCATTTTGATCTTCATGGTTTGAAGCTCAGCTGACATGTGATTGGCTAATTGGGTATTTTCAATTAATGAGTATTTGAACCGGTGCACCTAACAATGATAATATTTCCACAGACCCGCCCGCATCACATTTCTGTGGAACCCAAGGAATGGAAAGAGACGGCAAGGAACACCCAAAATAACGTGGAGGAGTACTTTCCTTGAAGAATTACGTTCGGTTGAACTGTCATGGGATGAAACAGTAACCGCCGCGATGGACCGAGTTCGATGGCGTTCTCTTGTCGCCCGATGCACCGATCGTCACGGGAGGATCTAAGTCTAAGTAAGTCTAAGTAAGCACCTAATAAAGTGGTAAGTCTATATGTAAACCATGCTCTGCTTCTAGCATTGTAGGCATGGTAATGCTGCAGCACTAGTTGTTTTGTACAGTTTTTCTCAAATACAATGGTTTTAATAGCTGCATAAGTGCATTAGGTCACAAGTTTGGCTAGCTGCCTTACCTTTCCCATATATTCTTTTAAGCTCATCCTGGAACTTATCAATGAGGCTGCTGACCGAAGACCGGATGGTTCCCAGATAAAGGTCAGTATTGATGCTGACCGCTGACCAATCAGTGGGCTCGGGTAGGGGTGACAGTGATGTCAGGTTCTACGTGAAATAGAGAGGTCATGCAAGGTAAGATGAACGGTGCGTCAAAGGAAATGAAGTCTGTAAAGTTTACAATGAAAAGAACACACTAAATATGACGCCAACAGTGTGCTCAGTGCTGTCCTATTTAATTTTGTTAATGGGAAACACAGAGCAGAGACACATTATTGCTCTGACGGGAAAAGAAGAGAGCACTCAGTAGAGGGCATTGTCCAAATGTGGTAAGTAAATTCCCTGTCTATCAAAAAGAGATGCACTGGTCTGCTTACTCTCAGCTTTGATGTGTCTGGGTATTCGAGGCTTCATGCCTTCACTTCTATTGATGCTATGTAGAAAACCTCTAAAGTAGCAACTTCAAAGACATCTATTCATTCACATGGGGAAATGGCTATAACAGGCTCGGTCTGCTCATGGAGGCTTTTGATGTTGTGTCTCAAAATCTCTGAGCAAACACAGCTGGTGCAGCCACAGAGGTAAATAATTGGCTTTGCAATTAAAAGTAAAGTGTGTATACAGTTTTCAGAACAGGAAAACAGAGATATGTTCAGTATAATACGATCCATATGATATTGTTCAGGCTTTTCTGGTGAAATCATAAGGGTAGAAAGTCTTGTGTTTTAGATGCCTGTGAGATTTCCATTATTGTGAATAGCACAGCTTATTCTGTTAAGTCTTTAGCCTTCTAATAAAATGCTCTGCTCCAAATGCACAGTAATTGTGTTTTCAGTATGTAGGCCAAGCTGGAAAAGCAAGAACTTTAAAGGCTAGCTATAATTAGTACAGAAAAATAAAGTTAGCATCCAAAGCATCCAAAGCGTGAAGATACTGTCTCAAGACCTGGACCTGTCTGCATGCCAGTGTGTTAGACCCACATGGAGCTCTGTAGTACCTGAAGGAAAAGCACTTTGTCGTGCGTCTGTGCATGGACTTCTAGCTCATTGCTCCTCCTCCTCAGTTGGCTGAGTTCATTCTCCAAACCCCTGGCCATTTCCTGGGCGTGACGCTCTGCCTCACGTTGCCTCGTGGCTATCAGCTCAACCAGCTCCGCCTGACTCTGCTCCACCAGACGCTGCAGCTCTGCGTACACCTGCCAGCTTTCCTCCAACTCCTTCTGAGCACTGGCCTGTGAATGTGAGCGCCACATGGCCAGTGTTACCAGTGTGAACATGAGAAAAGCTCAGAGTCCAGATGAGATCGTGTTCAAGACCGAAGACCGGGTTTAAGGAGGAATGCCTGCGTATTCTTAGCAACAAAGTTCTTACAGATTAACCAGAGTCTAGAAGTTACTGAGTAACACAGCTCCTTTTACAGGGGAGCTTGGAGGACAGGTTGAGATAGTGCTAATCCTGTGGAAGAAGTTATTTATTGTCTTGTACGTGGCGTTAATGAGGTAGAGAACATTCTATACAAACATTACATAAACTGCATTGTGGGAATGCAGGATCTTTGAGATTAACTTGAGCCACAACTCTGAGAAACACATGAAAATGCAAATGTTTGATGCAGCCGCATCAGACATTAGCCTTTAAAATGGCAGCTCTTTTGCACAAAGTTCCAGTTATATTGGCTTGAATAGACATATGTTTGTGTGGGGAACAGTTGCTGTGAGTATGCATCATACATGCCACCTTCTGTGTTCTCTACCTAGACACCACCCTACATTTTTAGGACCTCATGTTGTGTAGGAAATTTTAGAGAGTGTCCGAACCTGATTTCACATGTGAAGTCAGCTTATGCTGAATTATTTCCTTTTATTGTTGCACTTTTTTTTTGTTGAAAATGATTTTCCATCCACACCCTTCTTTTTGCTCCCTGATAGCATCGCTCCATTTGAACTCTTTTTTTCTTCCCAATGACAAGAGCATAGGGTCCCATTTCATTTAAACATTAAAATGTGTCATTTGTTTGAGGTGAAACGCCTCAAAGGTTCACTTAATCACCAAGGCTCACTTTGGGAGTCACTTTCTGTCTGCAGACCCTTTGGCCGGTGTGTCCTTGTAGGATCTTAACTGTTGTTTTACACGTGGAGCTTCACAGCATGTTATTCTGCACCTTTAAATCTTTGACAAGAAAAACTAAGTTCCCCATTAAATGAACTTGGTTTCCACTCACAATTACGACTTTCCACAGAACAACTCTCATGTTGCAATTTAGATGACTGGCATCTTTATTTGTTTGTTCTCTTCAAAGGTCAGGGTTTGACATGAGTAATTGCACCTTATTTAGGCAGTTAGAGTGATAAGAGAGAAGTATTGCATAAACATCTTTATGTAACATACAGATTTTTACATACCTGGAGCAAACCTCTGGAAATTTTACTTACTGACACTAAATGTGGAATAGCTCCTTTATTTATCACACGCTAACACAGCATTATCTTTATTATTACTATTGTCCTGCACATTTAATGCTAGCATGAAGTTGTAGACTTTTTAAAGTCCTGATAAAATGTCATTTTATATCAAAGGTTTCTTGTTTAAATGTTCCTTTTTTTAATGAGACTCTTGTCCACACTCACCTTTGGCCTAAAGTGTTGATTGTTGTATATATATTTCTATATGAGTCTCTATTTGTTTGACGTAATGATTGACAGAATTGGAGGCATTAAATAAAACTACCATAATGATTCTAGCAAATTAACATGTAAGTACTGCAGTTTAAAAAAAAACAACCAAAACCCAGATGTTTACTTAGTCAGTTGCCTCTTAAGTGTCTTTGCGCGCCACTTGTCTAACTGGATTGACAGGTTACATCTTCCATTAGACGCTGAAACCACCAGATTTTCCATCTCAAACTGATAAGTTACATGCATGTTAAACTTACTCAATAAATTCAATGTGTTGTTTAGTCTGTCAGCAGCATGTAGCTGGACACGAGTCCATGTGTTTGTACAGTAAACACAGAGGGAACTGTGGGGAAAAAGGTTTCCAGAAAGAGGAAACCAAGAGTAACACTGAAACCAGGAAATTTCACTCATGAATGTTTTGCATATGTGTCATCAAATTCAAAACTACCCAGATGTGACAAGATGTGAAAACCTAAACATAGGACAACTGATATATTTAGTGTTACCCTGGTAAAACCTGTTACACTCCCAGCATTATTAGTGTAATTGTCCTGGAAAACCACTCAGGCTTGTTATCTTTTCATTTCTTATTCCAAAGCAGCATTTTACTGCAGGGAGGCTGTGGCTGGAAACAGGGTGTGTGTGAGAAACTAAATGTAAATGTTTACACTGGTCTCACTGGTTGGACGGCCTCAGACATGGATCTGAGTGTGTACACAAGACAAAAACAAATGACATTAGTGCTCCACCTTATCTGCTACTGCAGAGCATGAGAGGTATGAGATGTGGGTGGCATCCCACCTCAAATATGTCCTGCTTGTACTGGAGCATAGGTCTTTTAGTTGCCTCACCTTGCTTTGATGACTAATAAAGATGAATCTACGTTATTAGGGGTAAAACTTAAGTGTCTGTTGGCTTTTAATAAACTGCTGCTGGTCATCTTACAGCTGCCCTTGAGCAACAGCTTTTTCTGGATCACAAAGCTGCTTAAAGTGCAAATAAGGCTTTTGAGCTTCAGCTAAAGAAAAACATTATATGAGAGCAGACTGGCAAATATTTAAAATGCACTTTAAACATATTTACAACAGCAACGATTAGGCTGTTTCTCAAATACATGTACAAGTGTAAAAGGACTGGCCTGTTTGTATCAGCCACTTCTGATAAGATGCCTTTGGAAATGCCGCACTGGTGCGACGCTTAAGAATTCAGCTTGAAATCTTTCTGAGATAACAAAACGTGAGTGGAGTTTTAGATTTAGAGTTATAATGACACAGCACAAAATAGAAGACAATAGATTATTCACAACTGCATAGTTGATTCTGATTAAAAAAATGTTTCAGTTTGATTTTAAATGATCAGTGTCCAGCTTAAGTTCTGAAGACAAACAGCTGTACATGTTAATGCATTCCTGAAAAGAAAAATCCCAACAGATGCTGTGTGTGTCACACATACCAAAACCACGAGGTCAGTGAGTAGCTGAGGAGTATTTGCATATTATTGTAGCTTTGGATTAAATTTAGGTTTTCAATTGTAATGAAACTATAACTTAAAAGGTTTCAGCACAAAATGTGTGCAATTATAAACTGGAAGATTGTACACTGTTAGGGTTAGAAATGGGAAACATTTGTTGTATGGAAAATTCATATTGAAACAGTAGATTGCATATGTACAAGTTTTTAACAGTGTAGATCATCGTAAAAAGCTTAATTGTTGTGGACGCTGTTTGTGACCAGGTGGTCACAAACAGGCAAATCCACGATTTGCTTTTTTAATTTGGATTCAAAGGATTCAAAAGGATTCTTGACTCTTTACTGAATAGAAAACTAGACAAAAATGACATAAAAACAGTTCTTAGCACTGACTGTCGATCAGTCAGCCAAATGTCGATACTGACCAATACTGGAAATGTTGGCTGAATGTTTACCATAACCAATGACCGATGTTTATGTTATAATCTATTATTTTTGTGATGTCTGGATGTTCAAAGCTAGTTCGATGAAGGCTCGAATACTTAAAATTGTTAAGTTAATCTCTGTTTCTTAGTAGCTTAACCATGATGTCACATGCAGGTTTTTATTAGACTTACCTTTATGACCTTGATGGACTGTTTGATCTCGTCAAGTTTCTTGGCTCTCTCCTTGATCAAATGTTTCAGCTCTGATCTCTTCTTTCCCATGTTACCCTGTGAGACAAAAAAACCAGAGGTGTGTCTTACCAAAATGTTCCTGCTTTTATATCATAAAAATATCTCAGGAGTCATTTTAATGATCTTGTCATACAGGGATACTGACCATCTTCTTCTTAAATTCATGGTCAATGGAGACAATCTCATGGGATTTGTGTGTGGCATCGGCACAGGCAGAGCAGATGCACATGTGGTCGGTCCGGCAGTACACATCCAGGAGACGTTCGTGTTTCTTACAAATTTTGTCTTCCAGGTGGAAAGTTGGTTCAATCAGACGATGAGACATCATGGCCCTTACCTGGAGGACAGTATGGGCATGAGTGGTACAGAGACATAAATACAGTTGCTCTTAAAATTTACAGAAATATTTGCTTTTAGGTTATTTAATTAATTAACATTTAACAAACCCACCTTCTTATGATGCCTGAGGTGGGACTCGCAGAAAGAACCAGGGCAGTTCACACAAGATTTCAGCGCCTTTAACTTCCTTCCAATACAAGCATCACAAGAAACATCCCCAGGCTGGGCAAACTCTCCGGTATCCTTCACTGGCGAGCTGCTCTCGCCCGTATCTGAGCTCAAATTCCATCTGGATCCGTGAGAGGCGGTGCTTTTAGCCACCACTAGCCCCTGAAACTGGGAGGATATTTCAGCCAGGACCCTGTTGACGCTCATCTCAGGCTTTCTAGAGTAGCTCTTTTTGCACATTGGGCACAGGAACTTCTTGCTGTGGTTCCAATAGCCCTGTAGACAGGCCTTGCAAAAGCTGTGGCCGCATGGTGTGGAGACGGGCTCCACAAATATCTCCAGACAGATGGAGCAAGTGAACTGCTCCTCAGAGAGAGAATTAAAGCCTGGAAGACAGAAGGAAGTGTGAGAGACTTAGTACATGTGTATTTATAATATAATTAGAACAGTCAGTACAGACACCGTTTAAAGCAGATCTTAACATTTGACTTTCATCTTCTTCTTTTTTTTTTAAAGATATGTGGCACGTGACTCACTTGAGTCGTGTGGAAGCCTAGACAGAAACCTGCATAGAAACAGCTGTGAAACTCACTAGGAAGGGACCTGAGGACAGCAGTTTAATCTTCTTATAAGTGACAGCTTTTCTCTGGAGACTTTACATATTACATCATTTTAAATCCTAAAAATGATTTGGTTAGGTTTAAGTTGTTTTTGTCGACTTCGTATCTGGTTTATCCGTCCTTATTGGATAAAAATGAACTTGGAGCAGTCGAATTAGGGCAAAAGGAGCCACAGAGGAGATGAGACAAAATTATATGTGTAATGAGGTCATTTTGTATCGTGACCTGAAAGATCTACAGTGCTCAATAAATTGCCCACCTGTCACAAAAACTAGAAGACACAAATATTTTAGAAATCAATTTAAAATGTTCAGTAATACCTGTCAATAACTGTAATTGGATAAATAAATACATTTAAAAAATTCGAATTTATTTTACTTTTTTCTGCTTTTTTGTATAACAGTAAAATATAAAATTCATGGATAATATATTTTAACATGAAAGATATTTCTATTAAAGGTCTTGCACAAACTGGTGGATTAAACAGTACAGAAACATTAAAAATGATTCTGTTCATTATCAGTACAGTGCAGTATCATTTAGTGCAGCTGTGACATAAACCTGACATTTAGTGATTGGCTGATAATTTCTTTCTCTTTTTTTGACCTCTGTATATCTGTCTGAGGCTTATGTCAGGAGGTGGTAAATTTCCATTCAGAGGTAGGGGAAAAGGGCTAATTCAAGTATTCTACTTTTTTTGTGTTTTTGTAAACTGATTAGAATTTCTGAGGTTTCTATATAAAAAAAAATGCAATTCACCATTTTCTTATTCATCTAAGATAATAAACTGCAGTGGATGGGGAGGCAGTGGAATCATCTCCCACCCTCACTTTTTTTTGTCCAATGTCCAACTTCCAGAATACACTCCCTAATTTTGCTGTTGCTGTTACCTCAAATTCAAAAACTGATTGTTCAAAGCACCAAACAGTAAAAATGAAATTAGAATTCCTGATTACAAGCAAAAAAAATTGACCGCCACTTTAAATCTAGTACAGGTGTCAAACAAAAATAAGGCCTAAACTGATCCACAGCTTGTCCTCAAAACAAAGTAAGACAAAGCCAGGAAGACACTTTTTCCAGTTAACAGTTATGTGACATCCAGTGAGAAAGTATCACCACAAACAAGGAACTGTCTGCAACAGTGTCACTGTGTCCTGTTGTGGGTGAGAAACTATCTGAGGAATGCAGATATTCTGGACCTTCTGCACCTGCATCATACGTTTGGCTTAGGCATGAGCCAAATGAACTTTTCCACCAAATCTGCTACGACAAACAACCTCTATACGTCACGACATCTGCACTGTTTCAGTTTAACCCAAATCTAAAATGTTTTTTTTAACATATGTAGATTTAAAGTAGGCAAGTAAAAAGTCAGGTACCGTCAATTCCAGACATCTGTCTGTCTACACCTCCTGTAGTGTCAGCATGGATAAAGTTCCTAACATTTGATAAGAAACTAGCACTAAGATTATGTTAAAACAGGTACAACTCACTCATGTTTTCCTTTGACCTCGAGCGGTGCGCTCCTTCACCTCACGTACTTTGCTGTGAATCACACAGCTCCGGTGTTGAACTCTTCCTGAAACTTGCAGTGGACCTCCCACTCTCAGTGGGACACACCCAGACTCTCACATAAACCCTCCTTTTGTTATTGCTCAGTGATTTCTCCTGCCCTGCTCTGCGCATATGCAAAGCTCTTAAACCAACAAAGGTGTTGCATTTTCATCATTGCAGAGATCTGCCCCTGCTTTCTGTGGCTTTCTGCCACTGTATCTTCATAAAAGTCAAGAACACAAAAGACTTGCTCTTCAAGAAGTCTCAGACAGAGGTGATCACTAGCACTGTAATAATACTGAGACTGATACTAAGGTAAAAATGCTAAAGAAGTTAAAAAACAACAACTATTAACTCAGAGGGTGTATTTGGTTTTGTTTTGTGTCATTTTGGGGGGTTTTGTACATACATCATTTGGTAATATTATCTTTCCTCCCATTACTGTCTGTGTGTGTGTGCAGGTCTCTCTCTCCTACCTTTAGGCTCTGTGTTTGAACGTTTTTGTATGATGCAGACACAGTTGGAATCATATGATTGGCTCTTTCAATGAGTTTGCTTTCTCTGGATTGGATCGTTGGTTGATAGCAGACTTTTAAACTTCTTGAAACAGCTGACATCTACTAGTTCCCAGACATCTACTAGACCTTCGCTGATCCCAGCAAAGGTCTGCAATTTAGATCTGTGTATTGTCTGGAGAGATTCGTGTAAGTGCAGTCATAGAGTTGGCGGATTATGGTAGTCTTGTTAGCTGTGAGCTTATACTTTTATTTATTATTGTTTTGGTGGCTTAGGGTAGAGACTTGTCCTTCACTGTTGGTGGAAAGTAGTACTTATTAGCAAGATTATGTTTGTTGTTTTGGTCCCTGAGGACCCTGAGGCTCTCAAACTGGTCCTGGAACTCAAAAATCTCACATCAATAGAAGGCGAACTGGTACTGTGAAGATTAGTATTTGAGTTACAACGTTTTGATACTTGTCAAACCATTCAGTGACCCAGTCGTGCCATATGGAAAATTCCTATGGACCTTACAATGTTTAATCAGAGAATAAAG